TGTCACTCGCCTGCATCTCTGCATCAGCCTCTTAGCGGATCTTCCTGTTTCTGTCTTTGCCCTGGTACAGTCTATTCATAGCACAGCAGCCAAAGAGATCCCCTTAAAAGTGAGTCAGGTCATATCACTCATCTGCTGAAAATCCTCCAATAGTTTCCTGGTTTACTGAGAGAAAAACACAGAGTGCTTGAGTTGGCCTGTACTATCCAGAAGAATCCAGCTCTCCCAGCCATCTCTCTACCCTTTCCTACCATGTTCACTTCACTAATTCCCTTATTTCAAACATCAGTCTTCTTGCTTTTCCCCAAATAAACCAGGCATTCTTTTATCTTAGGATCTTTGCTCTAGCTTTTTTCCCCTGCCTGGAATATTCTTTTCTGTAGATACTTGGCTAACTCCTGCAACTCCATCAAATCTTTGTTCACGTGTCACCTTCTCAATGAAGTCTACACCGTGACCACCCTATTTCATAAGATATCCACCTCACTACTGGGTCTGATCCTTATTCTACTGTTTTTCTTATTTCCACATCACTCATCAATCTCTGATGACCTGTATGATTTACTTATACATTATAATTTACGTCAGTGGACTGCTAAGCTGCACCAATGATGGCAACTTTGCCTTATCACCTGATATGTCCCAAGTACCTCGAGCAGACAAGACCTATAGAAGGAGCTCAATAAACATTTTCTAAGGAATGAACACATAAGTGAACCAATGACATCCAAATAAGTACTAAATCTGAATCCTGATAATTCCACCTAGGACACTTCCAGGATCCATTCCTTCTGCTCTATACCTGCTTCTCATCCTAATGATACTTTTATTATTTCACTATTAAATTTTTGAAACCCACTGATTCATCACTTGCTACCCCCATCTGGTTTTGCCCACAGATGACCAACTCTGTGGATAGCACTGCTCCCATGCCTAGCCTCCTTAGGGGCTTTCATATCCCTTCCTCCACCTACTTTCATTGCCTTCCTTTGCTTCCACTTCATGAATCTTTCCTTTCTTTTCCTTGTCTCCCAACCCTACCTGCTCACTACAACTCCATCTCCCTGCTCACAATGCATATTCCAACCTGGAGTGCCACCACCAAAATACCCGTCCCTCTTTCCATCCTAGCCCACTTTCCACTTCCTCTTGCAAAGGTTCTCTTGACCGTCCAGTTCACAAGGATCTTGCGCCATCCCACACATTCACAGTGCTTACCATGAAAACCTTATGGTTTGAATGTGTCTCCTGGAAGTTCATCCCCAAACCAACGGTAATAAGAGGTGGTACGTTTAAGAGGCAATTGGGTCATAAGGGCTCTGCCATCATGAATGGATTAATGTCATTATCAAGGGAGTGGGTCTATTATAGATGTGAGTTTGGCTCTCTTGTGCTCTCTTGCCACATGATGCCATCTACCACAATATGCTGCAGCAGAAGGCCCTCAGTAGATGTGACCCTTCATTCCTGGACTTGCCAGCCTCCAGAACCATAGCCAAAAAATTTATTTATAAATATAAATTTATTTATAAATTACCTAGTATTTGGTATTGTTTCAGCAGCACAAAACAGACTAAGTCAGACACCTCCCCCATTCAACTGAAACTAATCCTACATCTCAGAGTAGCTCTTAGAGTATTATTTCTTACTACCATTTTATATAACTCTTTAATTGTTACATGAAATTTCTGTGTATAATAAGTCATGGAAAAGGGAATATTTAATTTTTAATTGTGAGATTGATAAATCTTCTTTCTCCAGTTATATTATAGGCTCCCTAAAAGTTAACATAGTGCTTTAAGCTTCCTAAGGATTCAAACAGTGCCAGGCACACAGTAGGTAGAGAGCAAGTGTAGGTGGAGGTATTCTATAAGGGAAGAATCCACAAATGCTAAGGAACTTTGTTGAAAGTACAACCACAAAATTGGGGGAAAGGAGTGGAATAAACCAACATTAAAAACTAAAATACAACTATAAGGGGTGGCTTTCTACTTAAGCTACATTAACTGTCATTTATATGGCTGATAATTAGAAAACATGCAGCATTGATTTCAGTTCTTGTAATAACGTTTTGTACAGATATTCTTTTACACTTTGAGGGAAATAAGAAATGTTGTTCTTTAGTGCAGTAGAAGTAGTTGTAAGTCTAAACCATTTTCTATTGCTGTGGAATGGCCAAAAGTCACAGCATCTTGAAAATCCCTGGACTACAGGTGGCTCCTGACTCGTGAGGGCCAGACTTCATGATTTTTCCACCTCATGAAACATATGCATAAAACCATTCTGTTTTTCTCTTCTTAAACAGTATTTAATAAGTTACAGAAGACATTCAATACTTTATTATAAAACAGGCTTTGTGTTAGATGATTTTGTCTAACTATAGGCTGCTGAAAATGTTCTGAACACATTTAAGGTAGGCTGGGCTAGGCTAAATCAAGATGTTCAATAGGTTAGTTGTATTAAATGCATTTTTGAATTATGATATTTTCAAGTTATGATGGGCTTACTGGGACATCATCCCACTGTAAGTTGAAGAGCATTCATACTCTCCATGGCCCATGCCCAGGGAAAGGTGCTCTTATCAGGTGACCATGAGAACTGAAAACAAGGGCACAGACTCTGCTTATCAGTGTTAACACTTTGCTCCTCACTGTTTTCCCCAGTTTCTTCCATTTATTCATGTAACAAACACCTATTGTGTGCTTATGATTGCTGCTCTGCCCAGGGTTGGGTATATATACACACACACACACACACACACACACACACACACCCCTTATTTACTTTAGCACAACCCTCAAAGGTAGATATCATGAATGCTCCCAGTTTACAAACGGAGGCCTTGTTCAGAGTGGTTAAATAACACAGCCAAGTTACAGTTAGCAAACTGCAGGTCTGGGATTTGGACCTTGAGAGGGCATTGACACCAAAGTCCTTGTTCTTTCTACTTTGTCAAGTTGCCTCTCAGGAGCTCAGTGTGTGTTTGATAGAGGCACAAGTGAACAAATGACCCAAAGGTTTGCAGTTTTGTTGAACACAACTGAACCACCATAGACCATGCAGAGGAGTAAACAAAGACATTAACATTATGTTAACGAGATAGTACAATTCAACATTGATATGGCATAAGTGTTTGAAAGAAACTTTCTGGAGAGAAGATCTGAGATTTTTCATCTCCTTTACCGATGTTTTTAAAGAGGGCTCCAAAACCTTTCTTTTTCCAGAGGAAGTAATCTAGCCATTTGGTTAAATCTGCAAGTTCTTTGTCACTCAAACACACTATACAGGGGTTCCAGAGTTAAAAAGGCAGGTCAGCCATCTATGAACTCCCTTCCCCTCCACTGGGCTGGGTAGCCACAGCAAGGAATAAGTGCCTGGTTGACTCCAACCAGATAACCATCTTGCAGATGCAAAATCTCAAAACCTGACCAGGAGTATATAAGTCAGTTGATGAAAATGCATGATGGCCCCACACTAATTTCAAGACAAATGAGATAAAACTGAGCCCCTTAAAACATAAAAGACCAAGTTTAAAGAGGGAAGGCTGCTCAGAGATTGCACCTCTCCCATTTATCAAAGAATTTTGTAGCAATAACTTGATCCCTTTGCTGACCCAGGAAACTTGGGACAAGAGACAGTCATCTGCCCACATGTGTCTGCAATGATATCTGCAGCCATCACTGTCATCACACCAAGGCTAGTGAAACTGTTCTTGCTGGATTACTAGCCTGTGAAAGACATTGACTGCCATCGAAACCTTTTACATAATAAGTTATTGATGCACTAATCACCAAATTCCCCAAATGCTCAAGTTACCCGTATCTAAATGTAAAAAGAGAAAACAGAAATTTTCAAAAATCTCTTGTAGCAATATCAATGCAACATCTTCATTATTTCCTTGTGTATTTAACTAAGGTACCATTTCAATTAATGTTGTTATAATTCAACATTCTTAAATATTTGAGATAGCCCTTGAAAGAGGTTCCTTAGACAAAGATTCAAGTGGAGGTAGAGGTCCAGAGACATCCCTGCTAACTTTTTAACATTCTCATGTCTTTTAACTGGGGGTTCCTGCATGTTGACAGGCACATCAAGTCTAACCTCTTCCCTAAGAAAGTTATCTGAGTGGTAGCATTGTCTTCATGGTAATGCATCAAGGAATACACTCGATGGTAGCTGTTTTCTTATAAATATGGCTTTATATGGGCATGAATAGTAGGTTGATCACTTTGCTTGGCCTAAGTGGGAAGTCACAGAGAGGACTCCTGGCCCCAGTGCCCAGCTGTGGGCACAGCACTTTGCTTTCATGGCTAAAAGAACAAAGGGGCTGTCCTCTGCTCTGCCCTCCCACAGAGCAGTTCCTGACCCACCTCTCCTAAGATGTTAGATGGAGTGAGAAGAAGCCCATAGCATTCACACCAGGCCACAGCACAGAGCAGCATTCTCAGTTAGCAAACCTGCTCTCCCTGGTGAGGAGCAGAAGTGGCCCCAGACAACTGGGGAATCAAACCAGGAAATGCAAGGGTAGGGACATTCCAGGGTAAAATTTCTTAAAAACAAAAAATACATATATAAAGAAAAGAAGATGCATGAAGCCACGAGATTGGCTGGTTAACCATGGGTTAGAGTCAGGTTTACAGGATCACAGGAACTCAGTGTCTCAGTAGATCCCCAAACCTCAGAGTGAAAGACATAGGTGAAAGGCATTTCTACTTGTGGAAAAGAACGTTTTCATCTTTCACCATTTATATTCTCTGTCTTATTTCTTTATTGATAGTCTGTAACCCAAATTTGGACAACCCATCACTTTTACCTGCTCAACATTTTCATTGCAAAGACCAACAAATATGGGGTCCAAAGAGCACTTTCCCACAGCCAATTCCCATCAGCCCATCTCTCCCAGGGTTACAGGGTGCTCAGAGCAGACACTGTCAGCAGGACATGCCACACACAGCAAGTCACCAAACCAGAGAGCATTAAAGGACTTCCAGGGAACTTACTTGTACTTGTACTGGTTCCAATTGTGTTGATTGTGGTGGGGACGGATGAGGAGGAGTAGAGGGGCACATGGCCATTCTCACACCCCAGGCTTTTGTCCTGCCAGTTGGAGGCATTGATGCAAATCCCAGAGTCCCGAGAGTTCTGCCACCCGTTGAGCTTGTCATCAGAGTTCTGTCTTTGGTGATAGTAGTGCGTCTGCCCATAATCCACAGAGTCCGAGCGACCTCGGCTCTGGCCGCCGAAGCTGGTGGAAGTGCGGTCCTCCAAGTGATTCAGCCACATGGCTAGAGCACTGCGGTCTTCCAATGAAGTGGCCGGATGTATCAACGCATAGGACAGCAGCTGTCTGCTCTCCTCAATGTGCTGGTTGTGTTCAATAGAGTGTGCCAGGATTTTGGGCAGCAGTTTCATATACTCTACTTTTGCGTCGAGGTTTCCTGGCTTCAGCAAAGGCAGGTGAGTTAACAGGAGGGAAATCACTTTATCCTTGGATTCTTGTTGCCATTGGTTAATGATTCCTGCAAAGGAAAATACACAGGGCAAATGAGCAAATACACTCACAATGACACTAAACACCATGCTCTAAATTTAGAGAATGTCTATGGATTAGAGCCCCAATCTATGCACCCTGGCTAAATTTTTGCAAAACAATCTGTGCATCAGATTGGTGAATAGACCTCAGATCTCCAGGAGTCAGATACTTCAATGAAACACAGATCAAAAATTCCGAGATGTTTGGGTGCTCGATCTCATTCTCATTCACATCTCCAAAGAGGTCATATAATGTTGGTCCAAACAAAATTTTCAGCTGATTTCCTTAGAAAATTCTAGGCCCACCCCACAAATGGATGGGGGATAAATCTAAGAAAGTCTCCAAAGACAAGCCAGTAAAATCAAGCACCCCCATACCAGTGTCCTGGAGGTGAGGGTTGCCTATCTACCCCCAACTCTCTTGAGAAGAGGTTTTAACCCTGGCAAAGGGATTTTTGTAAAATAAGTAAAACTTCTGACATGGGGAAATCTGTCAGGAAAAGAAAGAACTTCCTCATCTTGGTGCAGTAAGACTGCAGCTTTCTCATGAGAAACTGACTCAGAAAAACAACTATGGACTCAGAGTAGATGAGTCACAGATCCAAGACTCAGGTTTAGTGGCACCTTTGATCCCACATGCTAAATAGGTTATTTTTCTTTATGTGAAGGTCTGTTTGTTTCTATTGTGGTAAAATACACATAGCAATAACATTTTAAGTGTACAGCTCAGTGTCATTAAGTGCCTTCACAATGAAGTGTATCCATTTCCAGAAACTTCCATCTTCCCAAACTGAAACTTTGTTCCCATTAAACAAATAACTCCATTCTCCCTTCTCCCCAGCCCTGGCAAACCACCATTATATTCTGTATCCTGTCTCTATGAACCTGACTGCTCTAGGAACCTCAGACAAGTGTAATCACAGTGTTCGTCATTTGGATTGCCTTATTTTGCCAAGCACCATGTCCTCAAGGTTCATCTATGTGAAGATCTGTTTCAAGCACACTCTTGTCCCCTCCCACTCAAGACATAAGCAACACACTCTGTCTTGATTGACTTTTGAGCAGTGGCTTATTTTGGCAGCTGGGCAGTCCTGTAGGCTGTCACACTGTATATGCAGAGGTAGAAAGGGTTCCCATACCCATAAACTACAAATGCATTTACCTGTTCTGAAAGGCTCTTCAGATCACTGGAAAGAATGTTTTCAAAGAAACTTACAGTGCTACAGTTGGGGTCTTGAATGTCTCCCAAAGGCTTATGTGTTAAAGGCTTACCCCCCCCAGCTTGATGCTATTGGGAGATGCTTGAAACCTTTAAGAGGTGGGACCTAGTAGGATATTTTCTGGTCATTGGGGTTATGCCCTTGAAGGAGATAGTGTGACCCCATCCCTTTCTCCTCCTTTTTGCTTCTCAGCTGCCATAAGGTAAGCAGCTTCCTCTACATTTGCTCTGGCCATGATGTACTTCTTTGCCACACGTCCTAATGCAATGGGACCAACTGATTGTGGACCAGAAATTCCAAAACTGAAAGACAAAATAAACCTTTCATATTTTTAAGTTGATTACCTTAGGTATTTAGTTACAGTGACAGAAAGGTCTCTAAAGGGGCATGGTCTTTGGGAGTCTGGCAAATCTGGGCAGAAGTCCCAGAACTGCCACTTGGTTTGTGGTGGAAACTTAGTAAGTTATTTTGCCTGAGTTTCAACTGCCTTGTCAGTCAAGAGTGACCAACAACCTCTTCCCTCTTCACGCTCTTGGATTAAATGAGATAAAGTTTCAAAAGAACCAGTCAAGTACTTGAATTGGAAGAAATTCCTTCTACTTGTCTCTGCATTAGCCAGAACCACATTAGATTGATGTAGGTGATTTGGAGACCAAGTTTTAAAAATAATTTAGAGAAGACAGACACCACCCAGGGGAAGTCATTAAAAATTATCAAAAGGTTGGAAAGAGGTAGAAAATAAAGCTGGGTGCAGTGGCATGTGCCTATAATCCCAGTGGCTCAGGAGGCTGAGGCAGGAGAATCACGAGTTCAAAGCCATCCTCAGCAAGAGTGAGGTGCTGAGCAACTCTATGAGACCCTGTCTCTAAATAAAATAGAAAATAGGGCTGGGGATGTGGCTCAATGGTCAAGTTTTCCCCTGAGTTAAATCCCCAATATAATAAATAAATAAGTAAATAAATTAATGACAGCATAAAAAAGAAAAGAAAAAGGTTAGGGAGACAGGAGGTATTCAGTGTATAATAATATGAAAAGATGCTCAACTCTTCAAATGGGGATTTCATTAACTATTTGAAGTTGAAAATCACCAAACTGAAGCAGGTGTGGGGAGTTAAGATAGGACATGGAGAAGAACTGAACTACCAGAACAATAAAAAGACTCGGAGGAGTCACCAGGAAAGAGTCCCGGATTTCTGTCTTGGTGGTTTGAATACTAAAGCCAGATGATCTAGAGTAGCATTGTTCAATAGTAATATGATGTGAGCCATACACAGAATTTTAAACTTTCTAGTAACCACATTAAGAGTAAAAAGAATGAGCTAAAATTAATTTTAATGATATATTTGATTTCATCTAATATATCAAAATATTATCATTTCAATGTGTTTTACATGTAAAACTATGGAGCCATTTTACTTTCTTTTGCTTTATATTAAGTCTTTGAAATCCAGGGTATATTTTATCACTGACAGCACATCTCAACTGAGTCCAACCATAATAGCAGTGTCCAGAAGCTTGGTGGCTACTCAACTGGTCAGCACAGGCTGGAGATATTGGATGGGAAGGCAGGCGGGAGGCACAGATGACCTCAGGAGGTCCCTCCCAACTCCCTAGCTCTATATTTAGCTAATGGCCACTGGACACAGGACAACCCTCATGCATTCTACTAGGTACAGCCTCTTTTGTAAGCAGCCCTGGGAGATGAAATCAATTCTAATGTTCTCATGCATACCTTGTGTGCAAACACCAGGCATGTTTTAAATGCTTAAGATGAAGACAAAATCTATTCTGTAAGCCCAAGGGTCTAAAGAGGTACTGGAGAGAAACAAAAGAGGCCAAGAGAAAGGTAAATGTATTATAGGTCAACCATGATCAGAGGGAGCCAGAAAACACCCTTGAACATGTACACTTAAAAATGAAATTTGGGAACAGCCTTTAATAAAAATGCACAAGGCTGAGGAACTTTCTAGCTTTCTGCTAGGTCATGTCTCTGTTTGGATATTTTACCTGTTCACAGAAGATCAGTCTAAAAAAAAAAATTAGGAACAAAAACAGAATGTAAATAGGACTCAGAGTTCAAATTAAACATATAACTGCTCCCTGCCAGGGATTAACCTGGGGTTCACAGGGGGAAAAAATACAGCAAAGAGGAAGGAAAATGAAAGGCTGCTGGCCCTGGTCCCTTCTAGAATTGAAATGACTGTATTCTGGGGACAGGGATTGGATGGGCTGTGACATGGTCAGGAAGACAACTATTGCTTTTGTTTACTACTTCGGGAACATGAAAATAAGGTGGCCTGCTGAGGGCTAACCACACCTACTGGATCAAACCATTTCTGCTTTTGCTACAGCTGCCATTGCTGACTGCTAACAACCTGAGTGTTTTTTTATGTGTCAGGCACCCTTCTGCACCCTGTGCATTTAATTACTCATTTTAATCCTCCCAGGAAGCTTGTGAGGAAGGTCCTATAACTAGTGTTATTTTACAGATGAGTACCAGAGGTGTAAATGGGGCAAATTACTTGGCCCAGGTCCCTGGGCTAGTGAAGTGGCAGAATGGAAATAGGCAGATTAGCTTAAAAATACACAATGGCTATCTTGCTAGAATGGTCTGGCCATAAGCTATATTTAAAGTGCACACATATGTAGTAGTTATAATAATATTAATATAAATATATTAATAGAGTATATGGTTCAGCAAAGGAGTTGGCCAGCCAAAGAAATGTAGGAAAAAGCGTTACAGAGAAGATATAGATGATACTTCTCTGTGGCTTTAAAATATGCCTGCAATTTCTTTGATACTCCTCTCTTTGAAAGGTACAGTCTAATTTCCTGCCCTTTGTGTGCAGGCTGGATTCAGTGAGTTACTTCCAGTGAATATGACAGTGTGGAACTTCACAAGTCAGGTTATAAAAGGCACTGTGGCTTTCACCTGGCTCTCAGACTACCCACTGGGGGAAAGCCAGCCGCCATGTTGACAGACCATTCTAGCAACCCAGTGGGGAGGTCCTTCTGGTGAGGAATGGAGTCTCCCAGCCAGCACCAGTCTTGCCAGCTATGCAAGGAGCCCTCATGGAGGCAGATTTCTAGCCCACATACACCTTCAGATGACTGTGGTCCCAAGCAACATTTTCGAGGGACCTTAAACCAGAATCACTCATGTTCCCCATCTGCAGAAACTGTGTGCAATTACATGTTTATTGTTTTAAGCTGTTCATTTGAGGGATTACTTAAGTGGCCAAAGATAACTAATACACTATCCAAGTACCCCACTAGGTAAAAGAAAGCTTAGCCATTTGGCTTTGAGTAGTTCTATCCTTCCAAGTCCTATTTCATTCTGAAATAGACCCAGGAAGTTAACCTGGTGCCACTAAGTAGTCACCTGGCTTAGCCTCCCTTGTCCTGATCATCCACTCACCATCAGCCTTTGAACTTTGAGTTAGCTTCCCAGGCGCCTTTAGGAAAAGAGTGAAGGAATCAGAGACTTGAGGTATTTCCGGATTCGGTTGTGGTAGTTTTTCAGGGAAACTTACCAAATCATTTCTGATTATGATTTGGCTTCCTGTGAAAGCCTGCCTACAGGGAGAATATGTGCTGATTATACAAACTTGGAATATGTCTGGTCTCACTAATGATGGTTCCTCAAGGCAAATTAACAAGCCAGCATTGCAGGGTCCACCTCCCTGCCTTCTAGTGAGTATGAGTCAATCCCTCTGGATGAGCTCCCCTGGCACTGATGAATGTGAGCATCTTTACCTTCACACAGA